TTAGAAAACAATATGTCTTTTCCTGAAACAATTAAGCATAGAGTTACTGTACGACACAGCAATTCAATTGCTAGATATCTACCCTAGAGAAATAAGTACATTATGTCTGCACAAAACTTGTACATAAATCTATATAGCAGCATTATCCATAACAAGCAAAAGATGAAAACAGCCCAAATATCCATCAATGGACTAATGGATAAACAAAATGTTCATATCCATACAACAGAATATTGGACTAACCTTGAAAACATATGCTAAGTGAGAAAAGCCAATAACAAAAGACCACATTTTATGAGTCCATTCTTATGAAATGTCCAGGAAAAGGAAATCTATAGAGACAGAGAATAGGTTAATGTTTACTTCCCTTGTGGCTCAGCTAGTAAAGAATTTGCCTGCAATTTGGGAGACCTGGGTTCGATCCCTGAGTTCGATCCCTGGGTTGGGAAAATCCCCTGGAGAAAGGAATGACTACCCACTCCAGTATTCTGGTCTGGAGAATTCCATGGATTGTATAGTCCATGGTGTCACAAAGAGTTGGACACAACTGAGTGACTTTCACTTTCACTTACTTTCACTTAGGGCTGAAGGGATAGAGGCGTGGGGGCAGGATCATTGCTAAGGTATGGTATTTCTCTTTGATATGAAAATGTACACTAAAACTATTGACTTAATTGTATGGTGTGTGAATTATATCTCAATAAAACTGTTTTAAAAGAAGTAACATCTATTCTGGGATAATGAGTAGGAGCTTTAAGGAAATGATAGGAATCCATTTAGCAGTGTTGCTGTTGTTGTTGTTAGTATTTATTAAATACCAACTGTTGCAGAGTAGAGATTAGGAGTGAGGGCTTTGACCTTAGACAGGTGTTCCATTTAATAGCTGGGTGACCTTGGCCGAGACACATAATCTCTCTAAGCCTTGCTTCCTTTTTTGTTAAATAGTAGGTTAATAGCATAACATCTGGAAAAGGACTCAGAATTCATGGAAGGGAAGGACTTTATGTAAGTACAAGAAACTATTTTGACATGCAAGGATACATGTTACAATGCAAGGATAATGGAATGGTCTATTAGGAGAAATTTTTATAAAGTTCCTTAAACAATCAGGTAGCAAGAGGCCTGATGAGATATCAAGATATCTCTTTGAAAGACACAATCCCTCCCTTTAGTGAGCTGAAGGGCTTTATGTTGGTATTTGTGAGTATGTGTATGTATGTGTGGGCTGTGCTAAGTTGCTTCAGTCGTGTCTGACTCTTTGCGATACCATCGGCTGTAGCCTATCAGGCTCCTCTGTCCAAGGGATTCTCCAGGCAAGAATACTGGAATGGGCTGCCATTTCCTTCTCCAGGGGATCTTCCTGACCCAGGGATCGAACCTGCGTCTCTTATGTCTCCTGCACTGGCAGGCAGGTTCTTTGCCACTAGCGCCACCTGTATATATTATACTTAACATCCTGTCCTTCATTTTTCTTTTAATAATGCATGGTGAACATGTAGTACATATGGAGCTACCTCATCCTTGCAAATGGATTCTTAAACTATAGTGTACTGAAAATATTAAGGGGGTGTTTAAGCAAAATATTTGAATGGACATTTCTCAAAGTAGGATGTTTAAATGACCAATAGTACATGAAAAGATGTTCCATACTCAAGTAAATTATCTAGCAAATGATGCAGCTGTTTTTTTCTGAAGCTCTTGCAAAACACTGGTGTCAAAATATCAAATGATTGATTTGGGATACCATTATGTGCAAAAGTTTCCCTCTCCCTCAAAACTTTCCCTATAGAGGGAACAGACCAGCTTTTCTCCTAGCTTTTGGCTTTTCCTTTTATAGAGACAGTAACAATTATATATGTAAAGGATCTGGGGCTGACTTACAAACACACATGCACACACTCCTGTCAATTTCTCAGTGAAAAGTTTTGCAGAATATTTTTCCTGTCATTAGCATCTTGATAAATCCATGGTTTTTGCTCCTCTATTTCTTTAATTTTGTGTGTCACAGTAGTTATGTCTGTAACTTTAAAGTTCCTCATAGATTATTTACTTGTGGTTTCTTAGGTGATGTTCTTTTCATTCAGTTAATTAGGATTCATTCAAAGTCCTATGTATTTAAGTAAAAATTAGAATTACAAATTTCCTGTTTATAGTATATAGTATTATAATGCATTATCTGCTTTAACTTGGAATTATAAATCAAAATTTGTGATGTTAGGAAAGGCTTGCCATTCACATTAAGATTTGTTGCACAGAGAAAAGTGTTACTGGGAGAGGCAATCTGCCTTGAGTCCTGAGCATCCTTGTATGTTCTTAAGGCCCTGACCACTCTTTATGCAGGCAGGTCATTTCTCAGAGTTTATTTGCAGCAAGCAATTTGAGGCATGAAGTAATGTGTTTCCCTTTCTGTGGACACAGAAGGCTTGCTTTTGCTTACTATGAAAGCAGTGAATTCTCCAAACTGTGGGCATCTTTCCTAGAACACTGTGCATTGCATGTGCCATCATCCATGATGGGCTGTGTCAGCTCGTGGGACTTGAGGATCATGGGGAACTAATACAAACCAAAATGAAGCCAAGGCTACTGCTTTTACCATGGGTAATAATGTCCTTAGGACTGGGATTCTAGTGCCATTTGCCATAGTAAAAGCAGGTTAAACAGTAGCAGGTTAATATTAACTTGTTAATTTGTAGATAATGTAAAATCTCAGATTGCACCCCTCTTGACAGGTGTTTCCAAATATTATTCTCTAAATCAATTATACTGGGGCAATATTTCCAGTCTTCTCAGGTGGCTCAGTGGTAAAGAATCCACCTGCCAATGCAGGAGACCTGGATTCAATCCCTGGGTTGGGAAGATCTCCTGGAGAAGGGAATGGCTATCCACTCCAGTATTCTTGCCTGGAGAATTCCATGGACAGAGGAGCCTGGCAGGCTACAGTCCATGGGGTTGCAAAAGAGTGACAACAACATTTCCCACTAGGATAACTTTTGCCATATCTATGTACCATCTTATTAACATAGTATTCTACTTCATGTTTGTCTTCAAGCTGACTCACTTATTTAATTTGAATATTTTTTGCAAAGGAAATTTGGGTACTTTTTTGAAAAGGAAACTTAATAGCACTGCCTTAATCTAAACTATCATCACTTGCCTTAAAGATTTATTAATATACACTCAAATAAATACATGAATATGTGTGTGCATGCTAAGTTGCTTCAGTAGTGTCTGACTCTTTGTGACTCCATGGACTCCGGCCCACCAGGATCCTCTGTCCATGGCATTTTCCAGGCAAGAATACTGGACTGGGTTGCCATTCTCTGCTCCAGGATCTTCCCAACCCAGGAATTGAACCCACATCTCTTACGTCTCCTGCATTGGCAAGCAGGTTCTTTATCACTAACGCCACCTGGGAAGCCCCAAATACATGGATATTACAACTTAAAATAATTGTGTTATTATCTGAAATCATCTCCAATAGGCCCTTCTACCTTAATCCCAAGTTATCTGATAACCTCCAGAGTAGTCATTGCTGGGACAAAGACTATCACAACCAATGTTTTTAGTTAGTGACTTTTGAAATTTAAAATTTTTCCTTTAAAAAGTTCCCATCAAGCCCTTTTGTGAGGGAAAAAAAAGGAATAAAGGAAGTCTAGTGCTCTGACCTGCAATGGGACAGTTGTCTTCCAGGTATGCATGTCCAGGACAGCCTGGAGAGTTGGTGCCTGCTGCAGGCTGGAGCAGAGAAACCAATGTCAGATCATCTTGGAGAGGGGTGTGCCTTGGGGGAGTCCTTCCATGTCCTGCCACAGTGCCACTCCTCTGTGCCAAGGGGCTGGATTCAACCAGTCTTATAATGCTGGCAAGTGAGTTCCTGGACCTTCACCTTCATCCATCAAGCTGCTGTAACCTTGAAGAATGGTCTGAAGTGATTAACTGCCCCCAAAATGAGCATCACAGAGGAAAAATAATACACTGTTGGTACAACTGTGATTCACAGATACACATATAGTTATGAAAATCTGGATGCAGATATAAATTCACAGTAAGTCTTACCCAGCACTTTCATACATTTCCAATAAAGAATGGGAATATAGCAAAATCTGACTTGAGCCTCCCTTTAAAACTTACACAAGTCTAAGGGTATCTTTTGAGTTGGTGAGGAGGCCTGCCACCAGTTTTTTGGGAGAGATCACTCACCCTAAGGAAATGAAACTCAGGAAGATAAACCAATCTTTAGACTCAGAAGCAACCCTGACTAAAGCATAATGTCTCTTATTCAGACTTATTTTCTGGTCCCACCCCTAAGCAGACCCATTGTGTCTGAGTCTTATAGGGAAGAGGGGTTCTTTGATTAAAATCCCTAAGTTGCCAAGGTATCAGTAAGATATCACAGCCCAAGTGGCCCTGCATAAACATCTATCTAAACTGAAGAGATGGGCATTTTCCCCACTTCTGTAGAGCTCAGACTGGAGAATCAAGCGGATTCCAAAGAAATATATTGGGCTTCACTATTTGAGATTTCTAGCACATTAGCAGTGTTAGGGGGCTGAGAGGTACAGAATCTGAATGAAGGGGCAGAAATATCCAGTACATGTGGTAGTATCAAGGGGAGGGGCATAGAAGGTTGGGCAGGCACAGGAGGAGAGAAAAACAAAGGTGGTACCCAACTAACAGCTGTCTGGATTTTTTCTTCAGCACAGGTGAGGACTAATCTTCTCCCTCCAAAATACCTAAAACAAATCTCTTAGGATTTGGCATCCTACATGGGCATATGGGAATAATAGCTTGTCAAATATAGCTCACAGTTAGTACCTTATTTAGTCCTCATGAGATCCCAGAAAGATCATTATTATCTCTATACTGCAAATGAGAAAAGATATAAAATTTATTTTTCTAGCTAAGAGGTCTGGTGGTAATTTGGAGTTCACATTTACTTCTAAAATTCTGCTAATAAATATTATGTCTAATGCCTTTAGAAATATACTAACTACTGTTGGTTACTCCTTTTTTTTGTTATAAAACTTTTATTATTTTTAACAATAACGTGTGTACATTCTAGGCATAAGGAAAAATACAAATAAGCTGAATTAAAAAAATCACTCATAATCCTACCACTGACTATATTTTTTGTCTTTCATCCTTCACATATTCTTCTGTGTATATATGGAATATACAAATGTACCTTTCCCTTTCAAAAATATGATATTCACATATTGCTTAGTAACTTTTTTACATTTTATATCCTGTCAGGAATCTCTTTTTGTACAAATGAGTAAAGCTGTCCTATTAAAAGGCAAAGACTTGTAGACTGGTTTGAAATAAACAATGAGATGCATCTAAAACCACTAATAGCAACAAGTTAAAAGCAGACAGATGGACAGAGATATACAGGACAACAAAAAAGAAAGTAATGTCAACATCAGAAAAAATAGAAATCAAGGTAAACTACATTAAATAGGGGTAAGGATGGTTTCGATTAACCTTCCAACGTATCACTGTAAGTTTGTTTCTGACTCTTCTTATCTCATCAATTTCATTCACATTTCTAAACATATCTTCCTTGCTTAAATGCCTGTTGTGTATATCTTCTTTAAATTCCTGGAGAGACTGAATCAGTCTTTCTCTAAAAGTTTCTTCTGTTTTTTCCTCCTCCTCTTGCTTTTCCTCAGGCTTTGGTACTTCTTCAAGTTTTGGTTCATTCTCATTTTCTGGTTTTTCTTCAATTTTTTGACAGGGTTTCATCTTGTGTCTCCCTTTCTTTCCCTCTTCCTTTCTTTTCTTCTACTTATTCTTCTTTGAAAACAACTACTTCTAGGAAGCAAGAAGGATACGTCAGCCACCAGGGTTTCCCTGAGCCTGCCATTCTCACCTCCATTTTCTACCTCCTCACCTCCCTTGTCCCTCCCTCCAGCCTTTTCCGAGGTTCTTCTCAACCATTTCTTTCACACAAGGCAGAACGCAAGACCTTCCTAGAGCACAGTAAGCTGGGAGAAGAGGGGTGTGGGGGAAGAACAGAGGGGCCCGCGACCTCAGTCCCTCCTTTGCCCACCTCCACCCCAGGGGTCTTCATAATATTTCCCTCATCTTCTCATCGGATCACTTTTCTTCCTGGCCTTTTTAGAGCAGCAGACCTGCAGACCAACGGGAAACGGGAGGAGGAGGGGATAAGAGTGGGGGTGGGGCGAGCGCTCCGCGGACAGATCAACACCGCGCACTTTTCCTGTTAAGGTTCTCGGTTATGGAAACTTTCCCATCCTCTGTTTCCCTCATTTCTCTCCCTCTCCATAGTGCCAGTTAGCTCGAATTTTCCATCAGACAGGGAGTCGGAAAAGCAGATTTCCAAACTATCGTTAAAAATGGGAGTTGGGGGTGGGAGGATGGGAGGTGTTGGGAAAGTGGTCTTAGGTGGCAGAGGATGATTATTTTTAAACTATCACAGGTCTCCTTGTCCTTCTCCGGGGACCCCTAGTCCCTTTCCCATGGGTAATCATTTCCTGCAGACCTGGAGGTGGGAGGTGGAGAGATGGACTTTTCCAGGGCTTTCTTAAATCTCTGCTTCTAGGCCATCCCCACCCTAGAAATCCCCAGGCAGCATCTATTTTGCCACCAACCTGAAAAATTTCAGCCAGTAGACTCCTTCTCCTTCCCCACCGGCTACCGCTGCTGAAGGAAGCTGGTACCCAGACGGGAACAAGGACCAGACTACCAGGACTTCTGCACACGTCGACTCGTGGTCACATGAGGTCTACGTCACCAGTGATCTCTGGCCCTCAATTTCCACTCCCACCAAAAGCGGGGCAGATGTGGGCCAGTCCTCTGCTCCCTCCCTGCTTGTACATTTGGCCCTATCCATCTTTTTTGCCTATCCCAGAGGGGGAAAATGTTATTTGCCTTTCTCTGATTACTAGGGAGGGGCTGCATTTTTTTCTGGAGCTACTAAACTTTTCTACTTTTCCAAGAATTCTTTTTCTTGCCTTCTGCTCCCAGGATTAAGAACACTAACCTACATCCATTGCCCCTGCCCCAGTCTGCATTTCAGCTGCAATCTGGTCCTTGGCTGTTGTGGAATAGGCTTGGATTGGCAGTGGGTTGTTTCTTGAAAAAAAAAAAAAAAAAGGAGCTGAGCGGGGGAGGCCTGGGGACAGAAGTATTATTTTTAATGTAGCTTTAAACTTTAGTCTTAATGCTTTTCTGTTGGGGTATAGCCCCAAATCCTTTCTTTTATTATGCTAATACCCTTGCCCTACTTGCCAGCCTATAGACACCTTCCATTTTATACAACCCCTGACAGTGCCCTGGTAGCTGCTAGATGGGTTGCTGCCCTATTCATGAATTGTTGTATAAAGCCAATTAGTTCCTCACATTTATTCAGCTGAATTTTGTTTTTCCAGTTACTTTTTAAAAATATAGAACAGTATTAAGTAAAGTGAAAAACTACATTAAAAATATTGCTAAAAGATTTTGGTGTTAAAAAAGTAAAGATAAATTTTTAAATAAATAAATAAAAGAATTATTTTTAGATAAGGATAATTTTTGGGGAGGGGAGAGGAAGGGATGAGCTTCCCAGGTGGCCCAGTGGTCAAGAATCTGCTTGCTATATATATGGAATCTAGAAAAATGGTACTAAAGAATTTATTTATAGGGCAGCAACGGAGAAACAGACATAGAGAATAGACTTATGGACATGGGGAGAGGGGAGGAGAGGGTGAGCTGTATGGAAGGAGTAACATGGAAACTTACATTACCATACGTAAAATAGATAGCAAATGTGAATTTGCTCTATGGTTCAGGAAACTCAAATGGGCTCTGTATCAACCTAAAGAGATGGGATGGGGAGGGAGATGGGAGGGAGCTTCAAGAGGGAGGGGACATATGCATACCCTAGGCTGATTCGTGTTGAGGTTTGACAGAAAAATAACAAAATTCTGTACAGCAATTATCTGTCAGGAAGCATTTAACAAGAGGCTTCCTGTGTGCTGTTTTGGATCTGTCAGGAACCCTCTGGCCCTTATTAATTCAGGAATTAAGAGGAGAGGCACGCCTTTCCCGGGGCTGGGGAAGCCAGGCATTTCTCATTACGGTAATAAGTACCCTCTTCCTTTTTGAGTCATACGGTAAAAGGTAAAAGGTGGTTGTTTGTAACTCTCTCTTTGATAGGGATCGTCTTGTGTTTTCTAAGTCTGGAATTTTAATCTTTATCTTTGCTGAGAATAACCACCTTGTAAGACAGTAAATATGTACACACCATGTTGATTAAAACACCTTTGCTCCATCAGAGCTTGGGTCCCCGTGTCTTTCTTTCTATTCTTTCTTTCTTTCCTTCTCTCTCTCTTTCAGGCTATTTCCTTGGAGGGCGGAGGCCCGCTGAGCTCACTTTCTTGCCCGGGCTTCTAAGACCCTCTCGAGAAGGCGCACTGCGCCTCCACCCGCTCGAGAGGGCGCCCCGTGCCTACGTGCAGCAGCGTGAGCCCTAAGAATAGGGCTTTCCGCATAAATCAGGGGATATCAGCCTCTTTCTCTCTTACTTTCTTATCGTCAACTCCGGACCACCAGGTTCTGGTCCATTAAAGGACCAACAATTATCCTTCAATAATAAAAAAGAATCTTCCTTCCAATGCAGGAGATGCAAGAGAGGTGGGTTCGATCCCTCAGTTGGAAATGACAACCCACTATAGTATTCTTGCCTAGAAAATCCCATGGACAGAGGACCCTGGTGGGTTACAGTCCATGGATTTGCATAGAGTCTGGCATGAGCAGAGGAAGGGAGCAGCGAAGGTTTTATGAAGCAGATTACTTCTTTTTTAGGGGGATGGAGAAGGCATATGTGACATTACCTTACTGTTCCTTGACCAGAAAATTCCAGGCTGGTTGATTTAAGATTACATTTCTGGGAAGAGGCTGAAACTGCAATTAGGTGAGATATTAAGTCTAGGTTTGGTATCATTGGCTTTAGCACAAGAGATGAAGTTTGGGGTCTGTGGTTTTGTTTTGTTTTTTAACAAATTCATGTCTTTTTATAGTTGGAAAAAGCAAAGACAGAATTACTTCAGTTAAATGAGTTAGTATGTGTACAGTCCTGAGAATAGTGCCTGGCATATGATAAGTGCTTTAGAAGTACAAACTATTATTATATTTATATTTTTAAAAATCATTATATTAGGATTTAATTTGGGGAAAAGAATTCAAAATGAAAAAAAAAATCATGTTTGATTCCAGAGTCTTGGTGGTGATATTTGCCAGGAAGTAATCAGTTTGGTCCTCTGGATGCTGTCTTCCCCAGGTAGCGAAGAGCCAATAAGCAAGAAGATATACCAACCTGGAACCTTCACTTCTATCCTTCTAGACTATGTTCTAGATACCTAGGACCCTAGAGTATCCTGCCCAAAGGACCTGGAGTGGAAATGCAAGACTTGCTTATGCCTCTTCTTCAAGTCTATCTTCTTGAGAGTGAGCCCTATCCCCTGTGGGTTCACTCTAGGGTGAATACCCAAGAATGGATTTACAGGCTCAAAGGGAATGCATATTTAAGTACTTAGCAATTGCCTAAGGGCTTCCCTGGAGGCTCAGACCATAAAGAATCTGTCTTCAGTGCTTGAGACCTGGGTTGATTCTTGGGCTTGGAAGGTTCCCTGGAGAATGAAATGACTACACATTTCAGTATTCTTGCCTGGAGAATTCCATGGACAGAAGAGCCTGGTAGACTACTGTTCATGGGATCACAAAGAGTTGGACACGACTGAGCAACTAACACTTTCACTTTCAAGAACTATCTAGAAAGGTTGACCAATTCAGATTCTATAACCTGGAAATAAGTGAGAAAGTTCTTGGGGGTAGTGCAGAGCTTGTCAAAAAGTGCTTTCACTGAACCTGCTTTCAGACAATAGCGACTGTCAATAGACATAAATACCCAGAAAGAGTATTTATGAACAATGAACCTGACCCAGCAAGGAAGCTTAAAACAGGCCAGGGTAACAGTAAGGCCATGGGGTCAGGATACAGTCAGACTGGTCTCTTTCCTTCCCACCCTCCGTCTAGGTCCTGCCAACCCTGTGAGGCCTAGGTCAGGGTCTTTTTACTTCCATGAGGCTTCCTCTGACTATTTTGGGCTAACTGGCCTTTGCCTTCTCTGAGCTCCTATTGACCCGGCAGTCCACCCTTTCCATAAGCCCTTTCTCTGAAAGGTCTCATATGATGGGGATTCTGCTTTTCCAGCTATATCATCTATTCACAAGTGTTTTTGAAACCATAGAATAGTGTATGAATGTCAACTAGATTTATCATGGTGATCACTTTGCCATATATACAAGTATAGAATCACCATGTTTTACACCTGAAACTAATATAGTGTTATATGTCATTTATGTGCTCAGTTGTGCTCAGTTGCTTCAGTCTTGTACAGCTGCTTGCAATCCTAAAAGATGATGCTGTGAAAGGGCTTCACTCAATATACCAGCAAATTTGGAAAACTCAGCAGTGGCCACAGGGCTGGAAAAGGTCAGTTTTCATTCCAATCCCAAAGAAAGGCAATGCCAAAGAATGCTCAAACTACCACACAATTGCACTCATCTCACACGCTAGTAAAGTAATGCTCAAAATTCTCCAAGCCAGGCTTCAGCAATA